TCAAATGACCCATAAAGGAAATCCAAATGTTTTAGATTTGGCGATCGTGGGGGGGCACAAAGTCGAACCCCCCACACGTAATCCACTCGGCTGAGTATTCCATCATACATGCACAGAATGAATTATCGCCATGACAAGATTAGCATTAGCTTCTAGATGCAGCATTTTAAATAAGGTTTAAACAACGGCTTGACGTCATTCCACGGCGGGTGCATGCATGTTTCGCAATGCCCGTTTGACATTTTGAACATCTTCCATATGGATATGCAAATAACAATATCCATATTTCCAATGAATTTTTTTTCATCGTATATGAGGTTGTATTTTTCTTTCGCGTTTATCTCGAAAGCTATGGTGTCATATAGTAGGTACATTGCTTTGGGCATGTTTTATCTATTGCAAGTAAAGAATTTGGCTATGAAGAATTTGGGCGATCTTGATGGGGTACCTTGTATATAAGTCTGTATATTGATTAAAGATCCTAGAGAACACTTTGAAATATTGGCCAAATAATTAGAATTTAGCCTCTTAATGCTTTCCACTTAGAAGTCAAAATGGCATAGAGTTTCTAGTAGATACCTCCATAAGATAAAACTCTCTGCGTCTGATTGGCGAATAGTCTGACCAGATAACAAGTTTCTCGTTTTCATGCGCATAACTCTTATTCTCTCAACGCCCAACCTTTATTTTATTATTAATATTTGTAGCAAGTAATTTCTATTTGGAAATAAGCCTCCACAACCTCAATCAAATAATATTACTGTAAATATTATATTTCGGATTGATATAGTATTTGTTGCTACCCTACTTTTATATATTTGGTTAGTATTTTGGGTCACTAACCCTTATCTGGCACATGCAGTCTTGTCCATCTTTTGCAGTCTAAAATATAACAAAAATTAAATTATTAAACATTTCGGATGCTTTATAGCTTCTTCTCATCCTTCAGCTACATTCCACAAATTTTCAGTTGCTGTTGAAATATATACCGTAATTTGGGAGAACTTTTTGTAGGCACGTGACACAGAAGTCTGCGGTTTGAGATTATTACTTTCGAACCTCTGATTTCACCTCCGCTTGAAAACGTTTGCTGGTGGAACACTTTTCAGATGCAGAAAGAAGTGCAGTGTTTTGGTATCAGGTTTGGGCTGTTGAGGAATGATTCAATTCTATAAGCAAAAACATTCCACCAGAAACTGTGTTTCAGAAGAAGTACCAGACAACGCACTCTCCTGAAGAAACTGAACTTTGGCTAACAAACTGTTGCGAAGTTAATTTTGAACTGTGCAGTGAAGTTGCCTCGAAGCTTGATAATATGGTTGTCCGCCGAAAACATCGCGGAGAGAACAACGCGGACGAAAACGTCGCGGAGAAAACAAAGCGAGCACATCTTCGTACAAAGCATTGTGGGAGAAACGAAACCAAGGAAAAAATATCGCAGTTTTGAAACATCGTGCTGTACAAAGTCATCGTCAAAAATAAAGCGGTTAAAAATACCGCAGTTTTAAAACTTCATGGTAAAAAACAAAGCACCTACGAATCATCGCATGATGATAACACGGCAGACATGTATTTTTCAGGCTTTAAAGGTTGTAAATGCGTATTCGCATAATGATTTGTAATCGCAGATAAAGGTAAGGAACATTTTAACTCTATATTTCATATTTTTGGATTAATTAATAATTTTTTTCCTAAAAAAGCAAAAAGGAATCTTTATCATTCAAAAGCTGAAAATGGATCGGAAGTTACTTCTCCTTGACATGCTTCGTCACAACTAAATCAACATCCAAACGATGCTGTACATAAAAATGTTAACGACACTTTTAAGAAGAAGAATCAACTGAAATAAAACAGGACATAGTTTTTACTAGTAATATTAGATTAGCACACGTAAACAAAATTAATTTTACTTGTTTAATAATTATTCAAGTAATTTTCATATAGGTAACTTATATGAAAATTATTATGTAATTATTTAGCTTTCCTTTTCTAATTTTTATAGCTTTCATCTAAAACTGCTAAGACAAATTTATAAATGGGATTAATTAAATAATGATTTTTAATAATTAGGTACACTGCGCAAAAATAGGGGGGACATTTTTATATCTCTCGTTCTACTGCTCCGATTGACGAAATTCAAATTGCGTTTTCAATGTCTCGAAAGCGCAACTTCAGATATATATTCGATTTATATATAGCTTTGTTCTTATATAGTAGGTATTTTGACACAAAATCAGTTTTCCCAAATTTCGCTTCTACGACACAAATTATGCCTACATATTAAATTACGTAATTTTTTATGAGAAATTTCTGGAGAAGGTTAAAAATTTATCTTGGCGATTTTTTTCACTTTTCGCCAAGAATAATTCGCTTGGCGAACATTTTAATTTATAGCAACCTATTTTCCTTTCCTTCTTCATCACTATCCACGAGCGGAAAAAAAGTCATCGTTCATACTTTCAAATAGTTTTAACAAAGTGCGTAAACCACGTTTTCGTTATTATCGCTAATAATAAATACGCCAAATTTCAAAACGCGCCAAAATGTAAATTCACGTATAACTTAGGAAATCTTGAAAAAAAAAGTATACTTTTTTGCTGCTATGCTTAGAAATACATTTACTTTAAGATGATGGCAAAACTTTTATTTGAAATGGACCTAAATTTCGAAATGTGAAAGGAAGAATAAGTTTAATAAAAAATAGAGATTAACAAATACATATCAAATTCAATTAACATTGAGGAGTTAATTTTTTAAAAACTACTCGTGCGATTTTTACAAAACTTAACAGTCGGGCATAATTTGAGTCGTCGAATCCAAGTATGGAAAAATAGTGGCATGTCATTTCAGAAAAAGTCCGATTTTATGTCAAAATACTCATATTAGAACAATACTATATATAAGTCTAATACATATCTTTCGAGACATGAAAAACGCATGTTTAATTTTGCCAATCGGCCCAGTAGAACGGGAGGTACCGAACTGTCACTATTTTCTTTTTCTCAGTCTACATAAATTTAAAATTCTTTTAACTGCATAGCATTTATTATATGCACCTACATAGCATCAATACGTATATACTGCTACATAGCATTAGATTTCTACTTACATTTTCACGCACTACATTTTCATTTTCAGCTTTTGACTGCTTTATTAGCAAGTTAGCAAAAATATATATTAATTATTCAAAAAATATAAAATATAAAGGTAGAAATATTCCTTATTCTCTTTTCCGCTTGCAAAGCATTATACGAATATGCATTTGCAACTTTTAAAGCCTGAAAAACACGTGCCTGCGATTTTATCGTTATCGATGATTTGTATGTGCTTTATATTTTATCACGATATGTTTTACTTCGATGTTTTAAAACTGGCATGTTTCTGAATCACTTTATTTTCGGCGACGATGTTTTGTACCACAATGTTTAAGAAACGTGGTGTTTTTCCTTGTTTTCTTTTCTCCCACAATTGTTTTGTAGGATAATGTTTTCTCCCGCGATGTTTTTGCTGCGATGTTGTAACCTGTAACCAGATGTTACCCATTACCGTAGTGTTGCCTCTTGCAGCGTGAAGACCACCAATAAAACTTTGCGTCTACCGCAGAATACCAATGCCATAATATTGAGCTAAGTCCAACTGTTTGAATTTTACTGTCTTTGAGGCTGACGTGTGCTATCACGCTAGTGGCTAGTGGCTCAAGCGTTTTATGAACATCGATCTCTGCTCTCGTGACTATGTGATTCAGGAGTTCAGTATCTTCCTCACAGTATGGCCTCAAAAGTTTCGAAATACTGGTTCATATCTTTTTGTTTTGTTTTGTTTTTCGGTAAGCATTCTGTCAATATATCGATACCATAAATTTCAGTAACCCAATTTTTCTGATTCAATTTTGTAAAGAACAGATTATAAAATCAACCGCAACTCCATTTAGATAAGGAGTCTTACACACCTTCTTCCATTCTTCCTCAAATAATTACCTGTTTATGAGTTTTGCCAACACTTTTGACGTGTAAACTACATTTCAGGGAATTCACAAAGAAACTTTGCCTTGGTCACCTTTCTTGCGCTCAGGAAGCAAATAGAAGACTTTATTTTCAGAGGTGGCAGATTTTTTTTATCTTCTTCAGGCACAGGATATGACGCTCATGCGATGCCGACATGTTTAAAATATGTTTCTCTGCCTCTTCCCAAAGGATGTCTATGACATAAATTGTGCAAAATTAAGAATATATATTTAAAAAAGAAATTAATAAACGATATTTCATGTAAAATTAGTCTGTATTTATATGACTGTGTGAAAATTTTGATTTCAGACTCCTCCCTCTAAATTTACATAACATACACCAGTACGGTATTTTTTTGCTTCCCGAATTATTGACTGAATAGTTCGTTCCATACTGTAAAAGTTCGTATATATGAGGGCTATCATATGTTTAGCTATTATCCAATAAGTAATTATTTTTTTAATTAAAGAAAATATTATTAAATAAAAAATGTCAAGTTAATTAGTTTCCTGAGCGCAGGAAGCATTAACAGTTTCCCCATTTATGTAAAGTGAGGTCACTCTGCACATCATGTACGAGCGGCCAACTCGAAGGCAGATTCTCCGATTGCTAAAACTTGAATGACTTCTATCAATTCTATAAGCCGTCTTTTCTTTCAGACGGACAATTTACGGTTGACTGAATCTAAGCGCGTATTTTAAAGTCAAAAAATTGTTTTGTATCATATAGCAATGCCACACATTCCTACAATGTAAACAGTATTTGAAACCTTTGATAATAAGAGTTGTGTTTCTTAATATCGCTAATTTATCAAATTAAAAATCGGTTTTTGCTTTCAAATTTAGTGTATGAATGAATTTCAGATTATGATAAAGACTTGTACTTGCATAATTCTTCTTGTTCTGCACTTATATATAAAAGTAATAAAACTAAAGAGCATTAATTAATATACTTCGTAATTTTTATCTATTACTATTAATAGTATTTTTCTTTCAGTTTTACCAATAGTTCCAGTTGGAATTTATGCAATTTTAAGGAAGACCATGGAAGATGAAAAGTAAGAATTTTCTATGCTTATTCTTTACTGAAGTCAATGATCAATCTTTTTTCAAAAACAATTCTTGCTTAGAAATTATATTCTTATTCTGAGATTTTACTTCAAAATATGTACTTACGTACTATCACAACCATCTTAATAGAAGTAGCCAAATATTTCTGAAAGTGCCAAACTCTGGCAACCGTGCGCATAACCATTCTTCCAGCAACCATGCTCATAACGATCGTTTGAGTCAGAAAACGCCGGCATTTTGATATTCGTTCTATTTTTTTTGTATTCCAAGTTCCAACGGATTTTATATGCAAATCGTGATATTTTTTTACTTTGAACTTAATTTTAAAATATGAGCTTGAGGAATTCGCTAGCAATGGAAGAAACTACAGCAAAATTTCGGCAGTTTTATAGAATTTTGCTGAACATTTTCTAAAGGGAAAAACTAAGAAATGCGTTTTCTAGACAGCTGCTGTTGCCAACGATTACACGAAGCATATTCTCCGCAATTCTCTGATGTTTTATAGGTGAAAACAGATCACTGTGTACTTCGGGAGAAGACTAACGAAAATAAATTACAGAAAGATTGAGAAGAAGATTGTTAGGGCTTTTTTTAATGTATGACATAATCCTTATTTAATAATTCAGATTTTTATTTTAAATTGTGAAAGTATGCTTTCTTTTCCTATGTTGATATTTTTATACCAAAGTTATTATAAATATCGATTGTTTGGGAATCTTTCCGAGAAAAAGGCGCAAAAACCACCAACTTGCACATGCTAAGTACCTTTTACATTTTATTTTGTAAAAAATCACCAAATCACGCCAAGATGGTTGCGATAGTACGTACGTACCAATTTTTCATTTCGTTATCTTTTACCGGTCCTGTTTTGTATGTTATAACATCTGAAGTGAAGAATTAGAAATGTCTTTGAATGATTAAACTGAAAAATTTCCCTTCATTTACTTTTAAAAAGTACCAAAATTATATTAAAAAACTTCTAAGATTATTTTTCAAATATTCGTTTAATTTTCTTTCTAAAAATGTGTATTTTAAATGTGAAACTTGCAATTTATGTTACAATATTTTATCAAAATATTTTATAACTGTACTTGAAATTAAAAATAGAGGTTAGTGTGTTCCCATTACTGTACGAAAAGAAAGCGGATTATTGTAAGTAATATGTATTGATATAAAAGACATTAGTACGTACTGTGTGCCAAATTTTTCAATGCGAAAAAGAAGGTTCTACACCTTGCGTGCTCTGTGATTTCACGTAAATAATGTGCAGAAAGATCAAAGCAATTCTAATTATTGGATAAATAAACAACAGATTACTCTATTATTTATTAAGTATTAGAAGCACGTCAAATATACTGTTCTTATGTATTAGATGGGATATTTACGCCAACGCTCGAAGATTTGCAAAAAAAACAAAAGCAGCTTCGGCGGTATTTTAGTGCCCACGGTTTCTTTGTACAAATTTGTTCACTTTTGCATATTTCATGATACATTAATTGCGCACCTGTGTTGCTTACTTTTTCTGAAATCTTTACGGTTTTCTGCAGCTTTCAATCTTCAAAGTTGGTCAAAATATTTTCTGGTGTGAAGGTAAAACTAACCAATAATGTTATTAAAAATATATGTTGATTCATTTTGTGAGCTCGATATTATATTTCAATATGTGCTTTGCATTAGGTAATTCAGAGTTTTATATATCTATTTTAACTTTTATCATTTACTTTTAAAAATAGGTTTTTGAAGTGAGAAATATTGAGCGTAACTATTTCAAAGATCATAAAGATTTAAAATTAGCTCCATATTAATCGGTGATATAAATATACAAAAGTGGCTTCAAGAATGAAGTATACTTTCTAGATTTAAAATCTCATGATTAAAAAAAGGAGGGAGCGATTAAGAAAACTAAAAAGGGAAAGAAAAGAAAATATTCGGATCTTTTAATTGCAGCAAAAATAAGCGATTGAAAACTCACTTCTCACGTCTTTTTACATTTATATATTGTTACGTTCGTAAGCGGTTCGTATGGATTTGGAGTGAATAATGACAATACTACTTGATGAAGTATTGAAACACACTTTATTTAGCCGCTATTAATCAGGACAGCTTCAAAGTCACCTATTACAGTCGTCGAAGATCTACTATAAATACGCTGACGCAATCAGCGACACAGCTTTCAGGTTATCAAACTATCACAGTAGAAACAGCTTCACTGCAAAGCGCCAGAGTACAGCTCCCGACTCTGCTTGGTCGTTTTCGGAATTCTACGTACTCTCGAGACTCTCCACGCTACAACTCGCGATGCACTCGACGACACACTGAGCACAGTTCCCGACTTTTCGGTTCAGTCGTTCCCGGAGCTCAACACGCTCTCTCGACGATGCACTAACCGCGATACACTGCGAGACTCTTTCGGTGCACTCGACGACCCAGTCGGCACTCGCTGCCCGGCTGTCAACGCGATCGACTCCGCAGGGATTGAGTCGCTAGACGAGACACCAACTCGATATTGACTATCAGCTCGCTAACCGAGGCACTTACACACTGACTGCGGGCCAGCAGAGTTTGTATAGCTTTCGGCTTGTGTTTGAGAACATTCTGGGCTGAACCGGTAAGAATTCGTTCCAGAAGGTTCTCCTACCGTCCATGGCATATCGCCAATTTTGTGTCGTCAAATTTCGCCAAATGAGCGCTTTCTCTCCCAATGTGGCAATCCTGCTTTCCCTTGCTATTTTATGGCAACCCTAAAACTGCTTTGCGAGGAAGCCATCTTACCGCGCCTGTACATTTCATAGCAATATAAATGCATCTTTTGATACAGAAAACGATTGGTTTCATTTCAATTCATAATCAAAGTTTCTAAGTCAAAATTTAATTACATTGTAGATATCCATTTTATTTAAAGAAACACGTTACCTAAACTTTTTGTGTTTTAAATGTTTTATTTGATAACTCTTATACTCTTCATCTCTTTCTACACCGTAATTTCAAGAGAATAAAGCTATCTGTAGAATCCGAAGATGTATTTTATCTAATTCTTTTTGAACAGTTTGCCAGTGTCCAAAGAGGGTTGTAGGTCAACGTTTGGGCAATCCTCTCCAAAAGCGCAAAAATCCAAGAGCAATACATGAAGATATTTATTAGGGATATTAATGAGCGGTATGGCTTCGATACCCGTTTCTTTTTCCATTGTTGCCAGGAAATACACAGTGGATTTTGACATGTGACTGCTTGCTTTTTCTGGATGCAGTTCTACTGACTGATGGCCCTATGGGTAAACAGAAGGTATTTCCTATTTGAAAATTGAGAATACAATATGTGCCTGATACCATGTGGATTTGATCTTAACATTTTTCTCCACTGTAATTATTTTTAATTTGCCGTTATAAGAAGAACAAGCAGCATAACTCTTTGTAAAACGTTCTTTAGCTTCTTTGAATAATGTTATAAATATTTTTTCTCCTCTTTTATGATAATAAATGCATTTCTTTTTATTCCAGTCGCTTAAATACACCCAAGATTCATTTACTGTGACTTTATTTTTTCATTTTTATCCGATGAATGTTTCTAATGAAGAATTTTGCAGCGCGTTCTGCGTTCGGTGATATGTCATCGAGAAAGACGATGCACATTATATTTTTTCCCCTTTTTAAGATTCAAATGAGAATTCATCACTTTGTTTACAGTTGATACTGAATGTTTTAATGGTTATGCAACTATCCTTTAACTTCGAAGATTTTCTTTTAACATTTAAATTCTCACGTTTGCAACATTCGAAGCATCCCGTTTTTTTCTTTGGTTATGTATTTTGCACAAATTATCCATTTGAAGCCAAACACTAACATTTGTTTTCCTTTCCTATTGGCAATAATACCTATCTTAGCTTTAGATATCGAAAGCCCATGGCTTCCACATTGTTTTTTAATAACAAGATACGAATAACTTCCTTCGGAAAGAGCACAGACATAGCCTCCCATCTACTGCTTCTTTAAAAGCTCCATTTTGTATGAAAACAAAGCTATAACGTAGCAGACAATAATTTATTTTTAAAACTATAGCTGCATTTAAAAGAAAAATTTTCAAGAAGGCGATTTTTTCATAGCGAAGCAAATTCGTCTAAAAAATGTTACGAACAGCCTGTAAAATATCACGTTGCCATGCAAGGTGATTAAAAATGAATGATCTTAAGATCTGTCATTTTTAATTCATTTCTTAATAAAGATCGAATTCTTAATAAAGATCAAATTCGATCTTTATTAAGAAAATATGGCATATAACGTGATAGCGTTTTGACCACCTCATTGACTGCGTTAAGTTGCCCAATTACAGTATACAAAAATTTACGTATAACACGCCCCGCTTATGTTGCAGAGATGTTGAGTTGCAAGAACGAATCGCATTACTGTTGCAGTCTTGTTAATTAGGTTAAAGCAGTTTAGGTTTTGCAATTTAGTTGTTCCGTACAGGACACAAATACAACTCCTATACTAATATTTTCTGTTGCAGTGGTCGATTACTTCACTTCACTGGTGCCCTTAATTAGGCTTCCTAAAATATTTTTTGTATAAATTAATTACACTTCTAACGCTAATGGTGTCTTGCTAGTCTTTTTAAAAGTGGTTGCTCTAACTTGATTACAACTTCTAAAGATTTTCTGCGACTACTTTTTCACGTGATATATTTTAATAGAAATACACTGCATTTAAACTTCAAATACCTTTCAGGGTGAAAACAAATTGTAATAAGCAAAGTAATTACTGAAAAATATTATCAGAATTATTAACCCTTCAAAACGGCATTTTGCCACGATTCACTTTTCAAAATGTTGCCACCAAATATGGCCGCCATGTACTAGATTTAAAGAAACTAAATAATGAAGAATCTTGATGAATGCATGAATGTTTCTCGCATTGTGAAAAAACAACGGTACCTAGAGCCATCAACTTTTGAATAACAGTCTTCCAACCAAACACGGGCACTTGGAAGCCCAATTTTTAAATCTCCAATTCCAAAGCTGTATTATTAAATTTTATTATTTAAACATTTTTACAACAAGATAAAACCTGAAAGCTTTCAAATTTTATATTACATTACGTCCAAAGGTGCGTTTTTTTAACGTTTTCCGCCTTACCTTTATTTATTGAATATCATGTTCCTCGCCCATAAACTATAAAATCCAATTCAACAGCAATTTAAAAAATGGTTTAAAAAGAGTACATCTTTAGAGTTTCTAATACACAGTCTCACGCGCTGAAGTTAAAATTTTGTTTCGTGCAGTGTTGCCATTGCTCGCTTTAAAATCATTGAGTTTGTTGATCAAAAATTCGTTAAAAGTTTTACAAAAATTGCAGTCGATAATAAAAACAAATTCGAAATTTACAATTTGGGATTTATTTAATCTCTTTAAGTGTAATGCAGGGCTCTAATATTTGTCGGCAACAATTTGAAAAATGAAACGCTGTTTTACAGTGGAGGGCGCAAAATACCGGAACGAAATTTATAGCCCTTCTGGGCACATTGCCTCTTTGATCTAAAAAGATTGTCGTATAAAGGAATTGCATTAAACAAAAAATTCCCAATTGTAATTTATCTGTAAAAGGTAATCGCAATTGATTGTTGCTAATAACGAAAATTTTGAAAGTGTAATATAACTTACAGAAACATACAGTGGATGGACAAAAATATGGAAACACCTTGTGAAATGCATGTTTGAAAAGAAAGATTGATTTTAATGAAATATGTAGGTGGCGCTGGCCATTTTGATTACTGACGCGACCTATACAACTTCGTAAATGTGCTAAACAGTTCAGTTTTTGTCGGAGTACTGTTATGTGAGGTTGTCATTGCATTATGTCAGAGTTAACAGACTTCGAACGTGGGCAAATTGTTGGAGCACGTATGGTAGGTGCTTCCGTAAGCAAGATAGCCGAGGTGTTTAGTGTTTCAAGATGTACTGTATCGAAGATTTATTCCGCATATTTGAAAAGCGGAAAAACATCATCTGCTAAATCACAGCGCGGACGAAAATGTGTCCTGAGTGATCGTGACAGACGATCATTAAGGGCAATTGTGACGAAAAATAAGAAGACCACAGCTGCAAAAGTTACTGCTGAAATGAATGTTGTGTTACCGAACCCTGTGAGTACCAAAACAATTAGAAGGGAGCTTCATAAACAGGGAATTGCTGGCCGTGCTGCAATTGAGAAGCCACTCATCAGTGATGCTAATGCCCGTAACAGGAAAAGGTGGTGTTTAAGTCATAAAGCCTGGACTTTAGAGCAGTGGAAACGAGTAATATGGTCTGACGAGTGTTCTTTCACATTGTTTCCGACTTCTGGCCGAGTTTACGTCTGGAGAACGCCATCTCAAGCCTATAATACAGACTGCTTGTTGCCAAGAGTGAAACATGGCGGGGGTTCTGTTATGGTTTGGGCAGCCATATCGTGGTTCTCTGCTAGCTCCATGATAACTGTGTCAAGGCATATGACTGCCAAGACTTATGTGAATATTTTGGCCGATCAAGTTCATCCCATGGTACAAACTTTGTTCCCCGATGGTGATGGTGTCTTCCAAGACACCAAAACCCCTGTTCACACAGCTCACATTGTCCAGGACTGGTTTTCTGAGCACGAGGATGAGTTGTCCCATCTCCCCTGGCCACCACAGTCACCAAACCTGAATATTATCGAACCTTTGTGGTCTACATTGAAACGGAAAGTGCGTTCTCGTTATCCACCGCCAACATCGTTATCTGAACATGCCACCGTTTTGCAGGAAGAATGGTATAGTATTCCCTTGGCAAACATACAGGAACTGTATTTATCCATTCCGAGAAGATTGCAAGCTGTTTTGGATGCCAATGGGTTTCCTACACCATATTAAGCAAAGAAACATGTTTTTTTAAAGGTGTTTCCATATTTTTGTCCAACCCCTGTACATTCGAATATTATAAATAACTGACTTTAACAACAGTTCAGTCATTCCATAAAACTGTCAGTCAGAAAAGTTTCAACTTTTTATATTATTATTGTCTAATTTTTGTATCATTATTTATTTGTGTGGTATTTTTTTTTTTTTTTTTTTTTTTTTTTGTTTAACTGATTCAACTTCGGAAGATGTTCCTAATTATTTTTCTCTATGCGCTAGAGAACGTTTCCCACAAAGTCTTCTTTTATCATTACAGATATAATCACAGCCGTAATGATTAAAAGACATAAAACACACTAAGTTTGACAATTAAGCTGATGTTTTTGTTATACAATAACATCTTTTTTGGTCATATATTTCTCTAGAGATTAAAGTTCATTTTCTTTTAGCCAAAACGTGCAATGTTCCTAGGTGTTTTAGTGACATTTATCATGTAGGAAGTTAATACAAGCCGGTATCTCTTCTTTAAGGTTGTACTTTCCTGCAATCAGATTACTATCTGTACCGCTATTAAAATGCAGTGAAATTAAATTAGAGCAAGCAACGGAGAATAAAACCATGCGCAGCTGAATGCTGGTTGTTGCTGGAATAAAGAATTTTCTAGTCTGCTTGTTACATCTAATCTTGACTACTCCCTTGCTGTTTCTCACAGATCCAATAATTCTTTTGTCTTTTCCTTACTCAAACGATTTTTTTTCATACATAACAACAGAGTACCAACCTTAGCGGGAAACTCTATCTTCGACATCTTTATTTGCAATTACTTCACAGTAACTTAATTTTCTGTCACTTAATTGAATTTTCTTTTGTGTTATACTTTTCTACTCCATAATTTATCTTCCCCAAGTTCAGTCATTATTAAGAAAATAGGTTTTCTTCCCATTTTCCAAATATTTGGAGGAAGTATTAATGCGTCTTAGAAGCAAGGTAATTCAGTAGGAAGTTTTCATAAATTTAAAAGAACGTGGAAGTAAATATTCAACGATTAAAATAATCTAATAACTTATTTGATTAATAAACTCAAACAAGTAGAAAACTGTGAGTTAAGTTGGAAATTAGTGTAGCAAAAACTAAAAGGGTATCAAAGAATTTTATTTTCATTACTAAGCGTATTTTTGGATTGCGAATCACAGCGTATAATTTTTATTACATGGAAAGTTTTTTCATGCTACAGTATTTCTAATAACTCGTTGCAGAACCCCAGCTGAGAATTCCATTTGATCAAATTTTCACGTAAAATGAAAATATTAATAAGTATTTTTCTTTGTTATTTTCATGAGTGATTAATATTGGAAGCTTTGAGAATGTTAATTTGAAATTTAGATTGTTAATTTTACAATATGATTAGGATGAAGTTGAACTTTATAGTCACCTTTATGTATTTAAAATGTAATTACTTAATTCAGGTATCAGATATGTCATTTAGAAGTATTTTACTTCTTATTGTAAAATAATAAAGCCTGTTTTTTTTTTTATTTACGGTAGGTGCTGGGCTTTTCCAGTGGAGCATTATGAATGGATTATGAATGGTCCAAATATGCTGAGTTTACTGGTAAAACAGTTTTTTTTAATCCATACAAGCTGTTTCTCTTATACTGTTATACAAATGACAATCGTTTAATACAAAATTTTTTGAAATTCTTCTGCACTTTTTTAAAATGTACATAAAAACTGAAAGTTACATAAAAATTCAATCACTAATAAATTATTACTAAACGTTAAGGAAATCAGCAGTTGCTTCATTTTCGTTTTTTAATGGTTGCTCAGAAATTACGAATGTTTTGGCGTCCTTCAAGTTCATAAATTAAACTTTTTCTATTTTTTAAAGAATGCAATTTTTATGGCTTTGTAGCGTAAAAAATCAAAATGAGTGTAACTTATCTGAATGTTAGAAATTAAAAATATTCTATTGAATTTATTTTCTTAAATCGTTTTTGAGAAAATATTGCTTTTATTTTAGCTTTAAATCTTTTCTTTATCCTGCTTTTTATATTTTCTTCATTTTATCTTTTTACTTCCTTGTACGAAGTAAAAAGGAAATATTGTAATCGCGAAAAATTTCGGGTATCATATTTCAACGAAAATACCCATTTTGACCGCTAACGAAGACAATTTAACAATATTTATGCGTGACATCTGTACGTAAGGACAGAATAAAGTACTCTTTCCCCAAAAAAACAATTATAAATCGGATTTAGAATGAATTCTGAAGAGATTTGTTTCGTGACATCTATACGTATGTATATCCACTCTGTTACTATGTTCAGTGAACTCGGTTTCTTTATTCTTATATGTATGTAAATTTGCATTTTTTGCTTTATGATTGAATTATGTTGTTCTTATTTTTCAAGTAAAGTTTTTATGAGATTAGTTAACTTGCATGCAATAATTGTGGACTTATCAACAATTTAAAAGTTTTTAAGTATGGCTAAGCCTAATGTTTGATTACCATAGCAGCCATATTTGTTTACGTTTGAAACTTAGCAGAATACTGGATTTTCGGCCAATCTAGATAAACTAAGCTTTACAACAACAAAGTAACGTCTTCTTTTATTATTGCGAATGAAATTATACTTAATTCATTCTGGAATTATCTATTAAGTTATTAGCTTGTTTTTGTATAGAAACTGTAATTTTAATTGTAAAAATTTATTTTTAGTTGTTTTAACTGTACTTGGTGGTTTATGTTTTTCTACATCTTTCAAGTTTTAATGAAAATATTTTGAAGTTTTATGTATTTATGCCGCGAAGTGAGAACTGAATTAATTAGTAGCGTCCGCGCATTAGGTTTCCTTTTGTTTAATTTTTTTGTACATCGTTTTAGATTTATTATAGTATTTGAACAGGAATTGTGGTAATTCTTCAGATGATATAATTTTGTGCCCTCTGAGTTATAAATCAATTAAATGTAATGCTGTTAAATGAACCTAGATCCGAAGTGTTTATGGTAATTAAATACAGTGAACTTTAAAGACTGCATTTACTCTATTGTGGTTTATGCGCTATCGACGAAGCAGATTTAATTCAAAATTCGTTAACTGTTAATTCAGTATGTTTAAATAAAGTGCAGGAGAAAAGCGTATAATTTAATATTCCGTACAAGGAAGCCATGTGGTGTACACATCAGATTTTTTAATTTTTTAATTTAGTGAACAGTATTTTCGCAGACTAGAACTAGCAAGAGAAACAAATTCGTCAAATTTTATTCAAAATTCTGAATATATTTTAGGGATAAATAATGAAAAGTAAATTTCAAAAATGCAAATTTTATGGAAAATTTTAGTCGCTAATTTAAAAGGAAGATACAATAATTTCTAACTTCCTGTATTAAAGTATTAAGACATAGGACCCCAAAAGTATGCCCACCGGCACTGTTCCCCCCCACCGTTGGTTTTACTATGCCCGATGCTGTGCGACCACGATAAAAAAATTAACTGTTCAATATAAAATTTTTTATAGTTAGCAATTAGTTAGAGAAATATAAGCATATATGTTTAAAAAATATTTATTAGTAATAATCTGTTTAACATTTAAAAGTTTAAATGAGCTTGGCAGACATCTACGTGTACCAGGAATTGTTCCGCTTTGAAACTATGGTCCTGAAAAATTTGCCAATTTGACTTTTTTTTTTATTATTATTATTTTTGTTGTTGTTGTTAAAGATTACAAAATATCAAATATACACGCATTAAAATTATTTGAATTCACTGTTCCTAGATGGCGCCACACGCACAACGTAATTATTTGTGCTGCACTGTGGTGTTATAATGTTGGTGTTCTACGAGAGGAATGTAATTGTAGTTAGCTAAATGTTCATATATTTTAGTGCAATTGTTTCCTACTTTATTTGTGGTGTCTTCTACTTCTTGATTTTGTATAGTTTGTTATTTTAACTCCAAAATGGTTGACTCAAGTAAAAGACAAAAACCTGTAATTTTAATGCAGGTAAGAACCATATAAATGTGTTTGTTTGTTGTGCGGCAGTAGAGTTGCAATGCTGAGAAAACATAGTAATGAACGTCATTTTTCAGAAAATGCATGCAACTTTTAATAAGACTTATTTGCTTAAATCTGAAATAAGAATTCACTAAGCCTATGGTCAAATTTAAAAATGCCAATATTTCTTCTTTAAAAAATTTTCACATGCTCGCAAAGATTCTTCTTCATAATGAATTTAAGAGTCTTTATTTCATGCCACAAATTCAAAGCTTCTTTATTTCATGCCACAAATAAAGGCTTTTCTAGTGTTGTGAATTGTTAAAAGAAGTATATTTAACTGGTGCCGATTGCTTATTTCAGTGATTTTCTAAGAAATAGGAGATTATTTCAGCAATGCAAGACTTGCAGTTGACAGATAACACAAGACGAATATATGCATTTCAAAAGACGTGTAAACTCAGTTACAGCGGGACTTGGAAATTATATGAATGGTTTTCATTACAGTTTGAGGAGTTTATAGATATATCAGACACTGCACAGTTAGCAGTTACGATGAAAATAGCATTTAGTAACTTAACTTTAGTAATTAAGACACAATAACACGCCGAATAAATACTAATTCAGAAGTCAAACAACAAAAATCAGCGTAATATTTACAAAATTTTCACGACTAGTTTCGATGATTTTACCGAACCACCATCTTCAGCTGCAAAACCGCAAATGAACAAGATAGGAAATAATGATTAGATAAGATAAGAAAGCCTGAACAAGAATGAGCAAGTGGCGCCATCTGTTGGCGAAACCAGAACTAAAACATAATTTGTCTAAAAGCCGAAGGCAAATTTGGATTGGAATTAGGATCGTTAACTAAAACAGAAAGATTTTTATGAATGTGAAATGCCTCTAGAAAATCCAGTTCTCCAATGGAAGATGTTTTTTGAATAATTTCCAATCCTAATTCCAATCCAAATTTAAGCGGTTTAAAGCTAAATTGTTTAATATTTTTGATGAAATTAAATGCTAGGCGGAGCTAAAATTGACTTGTCCTCATTTGACATCAACTTTTAATTACCTCAAGACCAGTTCGAAAAACGATTTCAACAGTAATTCTTTCGGTTCTAAGTACATACATTGCAGGTTGTATTCAAGCAAGAACAGAAGAACTGGAGCTAAACATTTTGGATCTTAAAAATATCACTGTTATAAAATCGAAGGTATGAGATGCGAATTTCTACAATATAGCTGACAGAAACAGATTCATTCTTGAAAAGAGCATCAAACAAGACAAAACCGTTTCTTGGTTCAGTATACCTATATGAATCATTCTTTTCAATAATAAGTAGCATAAAACCAAAATGCAAATCTCGACTTACAGCGGACGATGAATGCTTTCAGACAGAAATATCACCATACTTTTCTAATTGTGGAGAAATGATGAATGAAATGTAATGCCATATATTACACTAATTTTAAGAATTACATTTTTATTAAGAATTTTAATACTAATAAATTGTAAACCGTAGTATTTGTAACCTTTTGCTTGTGTTATTTAATATTTATTTATCTTGCGTAAGAGTAAGATAATTTTTTGTATGTGATGTGTATTATTATTTATGTCAGCATATAAATATACCTTGAAAAAATAAATTGCCAGTAGCCGACTGTTATTCCAGAATGTACCCTAAGGTATAAAAAGGCGAGGAATCCCTGCATTGAGAGATGTCCTGTATTATGAGAACTTTTTATGTGTTATACAATTGTAATCACATGAGGAATGTAAACTGTGAACTGCCGTTGCGTTTAATATCAGTCTTTATTAACGCAACCCTCCATAGAAATAATTCAATATATTTTTGTGTTAAACACGATTTATTTATCAATGGAAATGAATTTAGCACGTTAGCACTTCAGATGTTTCTCCAATACAGTTACCATTTAACAATGATGCTATTTAGAAAAGAAATAAGTGTCTTATGATTTCTCTCGTTTCTCTAATTATTTTTTCTTAACCCATTAACCGCTGGTGTTTCGTTGAAGCAACGGTCAAAATAAATGCGTATATAAATATAACTACCTAAGATATTTTATACCAGCAGATGATTTTGTGTAGGGAATATTATGAAGATTATTTTTGTAAAAAAATATTTGCCTTCAACAATCATTTTGTATATAATAATTAATCTCATACTTTAAGCAAAATTTTCGACCGGGTATTTTTGCCGAAAATATTTAACGAAAGAATTGCCGTCTTTATGAGTGATCTATATTTAGTCAAGGTCACCGTTTATCAGAGCATTACATCAGTCAGATGTTTATATTTGTGTTGGGAAGGAAGGGAAAACAGGTGTTGCGTTGACGCAACGTCAGCAGGAAACGGGTAGTCAATCTCCTTTTTCACTCATTCCTTTGATGTTCTGGTTCATGTTCTGGTTGTTTAAAAGTGCCTAGAATGAGGTATCTTACATTAGAAGAAGCCCTTCAAAGACTTTCTGATGAAGAAACAGTTGATGATAATGTTAATAATGACCAGAATGAAACTGATATTGTTGTTCCCCCAGAAATTGCAGAGGCTAGTGACGAAAAAGAAAGGAATGACAATGTTTTAAACAATGA